CAGGCAGCATGCACGACGAACTGTCTCACCAATCCTGCCAAACTGAACCAGTGTAAGTTGATTGCGTGGATATGTCTCTATTTATAACAGCTACCCTACTTCTAGGCATGGTTGCATGAATACCATATCACTCAGAGCAATTGTTAGAAGTCTGGACAGCCTTGGAATAGTGCAAGTAAAGTGAAACAAAAATATATTACACTCCGAGTTCCACGCTTGCGGGATCACCAGGCCAAAAAAAATCTAATTTCGAACAAGGAATGGGTTCTGGTTGTATGCGAAAGAAAAGTAAGTGAAGACCTATTGTGCAAGGAATACAGTGGGAACTACACATATTATACACATGCACTCACACCTTCACCCACATGTGCGCGCGTGCGTGTGCGTGCACACACACAAACACAACAACACACACACATACGCACCCACATACTCAAACTCACTCGCACGCACGCTAGCCTAAGGATAGTACATATGCTGTAGTAGTGGTATACTTAGTGAAATGACTATGTGTACATCTAATGACGCCGCCACTCCACGCCAGAAGACAACAAACATCTGCTGAACATTTTTGCTCCCGTCTCTTATGGGCAACACAGGGAATGAAACGAACAATGCAATTGAGAACAAGAGTCGTCCTGTACGGTGAAGTTTCCATTTTCTCATACAGCAGTATATTGTCTAAGCAAGTGTGTTTTCTCCACATTCTTTTTGCCATGCAGGTATATCACAGTGTCATGCCAAACTACATTCTCAAACGCATTCGTTCCTCAATTCTGGGGATGATTGGACACGCACATCTCGCAGCTCTTGACGACGTCAATGTCAACCGTCGCCACAGCACAACCAAAAAGACCGCGATAGGAAGGTATAAAGTCCAGTTCTCAAAGCATAAAGAAGACTGTGGCCAAATAGAAAATTATACGACAGAAAGAGCTATGAGTATGTTGACAAGCTCATGTGTGAGGTGGTAGCGGTTGCAAATGGCAACCTCCATGTTCCTGCCTTGGAGAAGCGTGTTTCCCTGCCAAATTCCAGGTGGAAGCCTCCTGAGAAGGCTGAGGTGGTGCAGGATTTGGATATCTTTGCCTGATGGTATTCACAACGCAGGCTGGAAGACGACAACGAACGTGCTTGCCCAATTTGCCGTGTACATAGTGTGTACTGCCTGTGTGCCGCATAGCGTAGAGATCTACACAAACACAGAATGTCATATGGAATGTGTATGATGAGTGCTTGTACACATACCACATTGCTGTACCGTAATAATTATTATAGTCAAATACTCATTTACTCTACATATGCGCTGTATTGCACCTACCGGTACCTACCTGCACTTTCAGTGCGCGCGCCATACTAATTTAGTGTCCACTGGTACAAAGATGGAGGGTCTTGTAGAATTTACCATAATTGCTGATTTCAAATTGAATTCCAATGATCTGGGGGATTAATACTGATTAGGACGCGTTCGATTACCTACTAGTACAGAGATGTCTTGGTCAGAAAGTACAGATTTCTTGCTCTCCTGCCAGAATTTGTGCATTATTTTGGTGTACGCTTTCTTGACCCCACGCTTGTACGTTGCATGCCATGGTATACTAGAAAACGAGTTTATTGACAAAGTCTATCGCTTGAAACGATAAAGTATGGGTTCGGGTGTGATCAAATGCACCCATGGTGCTCATAAACTGTGTGCAGTGCTCTCTTCACCAACAGAACACTACCTACCATACTTTGTAGATCTTGTACCAATCCAAGGGAAAATGACAAAGACAAATGTGAGTCATGCATGAAAACTTGTGATAGCACGGTCTATAGTACAGAACAACGTTGTTCGTGCTATGCCTGACAACAATAATTAGTTACACACAAAACATTACGCGCATCGATCCTCACAAGATAAGTCAAGACATACTCGGAGCAAAGAGAAATTTGTTTGTGTCATGCATGAAACTTGTGATAACTACCAGTACAATGTCTTTCTTGTGCGACGCCTACTGTAGTGCGCCTGACAACAATAAATTTCCCCCAAAAAATAAGAATATGTGTATCATGCTGATACGCGATCCTCACAAGACAAGTCAAGGCAAACTAATTGAGGCTTACCTAATGTCAGACTCTTCTGTCACTGGCATTGGCGGCTTCTGCATGTCGAGATAACCTCGAAGAGCAGTGATGAGCACAGCCTAATGCAAGGATACGATCTCGTAATCTGCGAGGTCCGCTACGCAAGAAACCTTGGGCCGTCTTGTCGACAGCGACGGCAGCATCCTACCAGCAAAATCATTCCCGCGGGCTGGGCATGGCTATACACTTTTGTCCACGCTCGCACCAGTCGGAGTCCCAAACGAATCGAGATTCTGGTGGCCAAGCTACTCGTCTTCTGTCGGACGCAGCTGCTGACGCATCTTCTTCCTCCACATTTGTTACACGCGATGGCAGCTCCTCAGCAGAGTATCTGGGCTCCCTGCCCCAACCATACGCGGCGGTGGGCTGTTGGTCGTCCTCACTGGCCTCAGCATCGCTGCCTTCATTGCTGGGGACAGAGGATTGTTCGGAATCGCCCATCTTCCCTTGAAATACCAACTAAAATTAGTGCTTGTAGACTGGCGAAGAGAAACGACTTTGCCACAATGACGTAGGCAGCCCGTGATGATGTAACCAAATGGCCGCATGACGTCAGGGCGCGGCCCCCGTTTTTGCAATTTCAAAGTGAAATATCTCAAGAACGCTTCGTCGTAGAGACTTCGGACCAAGACCATTCGACTCAGCGCCCGAAACACTACAGGTTATCAAAGTTTCATTTTTTCGTGGAGTTCCCCTTTAATGCAGCTGGACATCTATCCTAGACTAGTTAGTTACCGTATTTTACTGGTTGTAAGTCGACCCCGGTCATAGGTCGACCCCGTATCCGGAGGTCTCAATTCTGCGTTTTTTAAAGTTTTCACCCAACGAAGCACTACTAACTACTCTCTGCTACTAACATATCAACAAATCATGTAACCATTCATTATTGGAGGGTATAACGTCCCAATCCTTGAAAAAGGCCGATAAACTGGCAAAAATGTGTACACATCATGCACTCGTGCATGCAGTGTCGGTCATTTTTGTAAGATACTGATAGTTCCCGGTTTTAAGTCGAATCCCGGTTGTAAGTCGACCCCCACACTTTCTCCTTCTATTTTAGTCGTAAAAGGTCGACTTACAACCGGAAAACTTACAACAGGAAAAATACGCTAGTACCTTCTCAGTAGTCTGCTTGATGTAGAACGTCTTTGGTGAAATCCTTGTGAAACGAGGATCGGTGATCCGGAGCATTTCCAGCTCACGGATGTGGCAGTTCCTGTTTGAAGAAAGAATGAGTAAAGATGAAAAAGACAAACAGTGATCTCAAGTCCAAAAAAGGGGTTGGTTTATCATTATTATCTATTTACACAGTGACTTCATGAACTGCCCTGTAAGTGTACAGTCATGTAGATACACTGTCACTGTGCATGTTGATACACTGTGCATGTTGATACACTGTCACTGTGCATGTTGATACACTGTGCATGTTGATACACTGTGCATGTTGATACACTGTCACTGTGCATGTTGATACACTGTGCATGTTGATACACTGTCACTGTGCATGTTGATACACTGTGCATGTTGATACACTGTCACTGTGCATGTTGATACACTGTGCATGTTGATACACTGTCACTGTGCATGTTGATACACTGTGCATGTTGATACACTGTCACTGTGCATGTTGATACACTGTGCATGTTGATACACTGTGCATGTAGATACACTGTGCATGTTGATACACTGTCACTGTGCATGTTGATACACTGTGCATGTTGATACACTGTCACTGTGCATGTTGATACACTGTGCATGTTGATACACTGTCACTGTGCATGTTGATACACTGTGCATGTTGATACACTGTCACTGTGCATGTTGATACACTGTGCATGTTGATACACTGTGCATGTTGATACACTGTGCATGTTGATACACTGTGCATGTTGATACACTGTGCATGTTGATACACTGTGCATGTTGATACACTGTCACTGTGCATGTAGATACACTGTCACTGTGCATGTTGATACACTGTGCATGTTGATACACTGTCACTGTGCATGTTGATACACTGTCACTGTGCATGTTGATACACTGTGCATGTTGATACACTGTCACTGTGCATGTTGATACACTGTGCATGTTGATACACTGTCACTGTGCATGTTGATACACTGTGCATGTTGATACACTGTGCATGTAGATACACTGTGCATGTTGATACACTGTCACTGTGCATGTTGATACACTGTGCATGTTGATACACTGTGCATGTAGATACACTGTCACTGTAGATACACTGTCACTGTCACTGTAGATACACTGTCACTGTGCATGTTGATACACTGTCACTGTGCATGTTGAACTTTCCAGACAGCAACAACTGTTGGACCGTGTACATAAAACCACAGTGTTCCCACATGAATAAACACAGCGTGCATACATGAATAACCACTGATGTACATACATAACCAATGGTGTACATGAGCTCAACGGAATGGCAAGCAGATCCCAGTCTACAGCAAACAGCACACCACAGCGATCATGGCTGAGGGTGACTAACCGAAAACCAAGGTCCATCTTGAATGATTCATACTGTTGAGCAAGCTCCAGACCACAAGCTTGAGCAAGACGATTCAGGACATTGCATGTCTCACGGTCTGTGGACTTCGACTTCATCACCATTGGAATGGTTCTTGTTTCACCACCTAAAGTGATTGGAGTTGAATAGCAGTGAGAAAAACAAACTTATGGTATACTATGGACCAGGGTCCGGCAATTCTAGTACACTGACTGTCACGGGTCACGGTTTCGCAGTGGCAACTCGTCAAGATGGCAGCAAATCCGAGAGTGCAAACATTTCGACTCTGCCTATGTGCGCGGCGGATGCGAATCTCGCACGTGCAGATTCAGGCATGCAAAATCTAGCCTTCAGCAGTTCTGGGTAGAGCAAGTGTGTAGGAACGACCTTTTGGGAGAGAGAATGTGGCTCTTTTCATCCCAACACTTTACTCGCCACGCTCTCCCTCCCAGCTTATTGATACGAGTATCTGCTACCGAGTAAAAGTCTCCATCTTCACAGTAGGCCAGGCAAAATCGCAACGTTGAAATACTTTGCTCTCTTGGTTTTGGGTCCTTTGAGGTGTTGATGTGGTTGTTGTGTCCAACTCAAAGTGACAAACTTGAGACCCCCGCGCCACAAAAAAACTAAGGCGAGCCACAACGTTTCGTTCGGCTGTTCAATGAAAGGACTTATGGAAGCAGGGATAAAAACTATCGTGGCTGCCGGCAAAACTCCTAGTAATGTAAGAAACGGGGGTGCGACTTTGGTATTCCAAGGAGAATGTACGCGGGGCCATTCCACAACGACGACGAAACTACGAGCTCAAAAACACTGATTTTCAAAAAAACGACGCAAGAAAGAAGACATGGCCGCAGTGTTCCCATGTGGCCTTCAAAACATCTAATTTCACTTCGATAGCGGCTGGTTCAGGGCAAATTCAGGCCCAAATCGACAGCGTCGTACCGTTCAGTTTCACCCAAAACACGAGGAAATGTACGGTAGATCCAAATGCGTACGCATTTTGCGTACGGGGACGACTGGCCAGAGTTCATGCACTGCAAACACCCGTGCTGTGGCAACTAAGAGGTTTTGTGTGAGAGAGAGAACTGAACTGGAAAATACTGAGCATACAGTACCGTACTTTTCTATGTAAACTAATCAGGCATGTCAAGTTTGCGCCCAGTATCAGCTCATAATATCAGTGTTGGCATGTTTTTGACTCACGCGATATATCAGTGTTGGCATGTGTTTGACTCACGCAATCAGATTTCATTGCGCAACACTGTCAAATACATAGACAAGTGTCATAAACATTTTAAGATGATCACAAAACCGCATATTGCTATCACAAGCTACAAAGCCCATGACACCCAGGATGAGGGAGAGAGACAGAGAGGAGGAGAAGGAGGAGAAGGAGGAGGCACTACATACATACCATTGTTCTGAACGGAGATATCGAATGCAATATGTCCAACAATCTTGTTCAGCTGTGATTTGGTCATGTCGGACAGAATGCTAGTACGGGAATCCACCTACCACCATGGGTACACAAACACACACACACACAACAACAACAACAACAACAACAACAACAACAACAACAACAACAACAACAACAACAAAAACAACAACAACAACAACAACAACAACAACAACAACAACAACAACAACAACAACAACAACAACAACAACAACAACAACAACAACAACAACAACAACAACAACAACAACAACAACAAGACTGAGTTAGACAGGTTACTGTGTTCAGGCCGGTGTACTAGGAACACACTCTTTAGTTGGCCCTGGGACCGTGCACTACGAGTGTCTTGCATATCTTGACCTTACACCATCTATTATTATTATTTTGCTTGTTCGCGTTGGCATCAACCTGCATAAAGCAGGTATATAGCCTTCGCTTAAGCTGCCATAAAAAAGAAAGCTCATCCTAAGCGAGAGGGCTAGAGGAAAAGATAACGATAACGAGATACAGAATACAAAGAAATACAATGAGTTAAACATACGTATACAGTTCAAAACAAAACAGAGCAGAGCCGAAGTTACTAATCGGAGTGACGAATGCGTTGGTTCCGATTGATCCATCAATCGACAAAGGGACTAATCCGTTAATATTGCAAAGTAGAAACCGATTGCAGTTGCAGATCTCCAGGCCAGGGCCAGCATATTGCCGATTCTGGATAGGTCTCTGCAGCATTTGATGTGGTAATTATTATCATAATTAGTGACGTAAAATTGTTAGAGTATCTAGTATCTAGAGTATCTAGTGTAATTGTATCCGATATTATTGTTAGAGTATCTAGTGTAATTGTATAACTTCAGCCACTACACACAGCACACATTAGTTCCTTCCACTTTCGACGATCCTGGGCAAGCTGCCTCAGTGCAACTAGATCCTCGTGTGATGTGAGGGAGTTTGTGGATCTGGAATTTTTCAGGTCGTTGTTGATAGATCGCGGGAGGGTTGTTCTCGGGCGGCCTCGGAACCCTGAGCTTCCTGGTTGAAAGTATGCTGACATAGCCTGCTGGACCGGGGATGAGGTGTCTAGTCGAAGCATGTGGCCAAGCATTCTCCACCTAGCAGACTGGATGATTCTGCTGAGTGGCTTGGAGCCAGTGCGCTTGTACAGTGCTTCATTGCGTATTATACGGGGATATTTGACCCCTACGACTGCTCGTAACTGCTGGCGGTGGAACGAGTCAAGTTTCTTTTCTTGAGTCTCTGTCAGGCTCCATGTTCCGCAGTTATAAAGAAGTATTGGGAGAATAAAGCTGCTGTATAACCTAATCCGAAGGGGTTCACGGGCATGGTTACCTCTTAGCCATATCACCCACAGCTGATGTAAGGCACATGTTGCTAGACGTTTTCTCCGACTGATATCTTCCTCCACTCCAAGCATCGATCCCAGTTTGACCGTGTTCCGCCATCGCTCGTCTACTCTGTCCTTTTCTCTTTTAATTGTAGTATATTCGGTTAAAAGGTTGAGTTGGGTAACTCCGCTCTTCTTCCTCGCTCACCGGAGGAATTTCTCTAGTCTCCTCGCGCAACTGGGGAGCACTCCAATGGAGAGAGAAAGATTTTTATAGGGCGGCTTGGTGTGAGAGGTGGACTGAGACTTGACGGCGCTAACGGCGAATATCAAGACCTTACGGCCACGGAGCTGCGGGACTCTGCGCTGGTCGTCTATCCGTGTGGAGGCAAAGCAAACGCGGGCAACATTCTGCTGAAGCGAGCGTGGAGCTGAAGCTGGATTGGTGACTGACGTACCTGCTTACTCCGCAACACCGGCGCATAATGATGTGCATGTACAAGACTTCGTGAGTATTCAACTCAAATTCGTGTTCCGTCAGCGTCAGTATCAGCAAGTACAGTCATGTAGTACAATTTGTTCCCAAAATAACTTCAGGACAGTCTGTTCATGGTTTTCATTTGTATTGGACTCGTTCTCTACACTTGCGATAATTTAGCGGCAATTCTAACGTTGTAGCGTTGTTCTCTTGTAATTTAGTGGAACCTGTATTGAGTAACTGAGTTTTATGTTTCGTTACATTGTCGTCAGATCTCCTGTGTACCGGTTTTGTGGCACAATGATTATAGCCATTATATTTGGTCGTCTCCATTCTTGTGGAATCATGCATATGTAGGTTGGTTCTCTTCATGTTATTGTGACCAATTTCATAGATGTTGGTTGCCTTGTTGCTTTCTCTCCCCTCTCCTCTCACCCAAGCCATTCTGCATAAGCGAAGCTGTGGACGCAGCATACTGCTGCTACACTTCAACGCGGGAATGCGTATAATAAATAATATTCGTTTTTGGCTTCATTCATTTTTAAATTGTATTCCGCTAACAAGGATGATAGTATGGGTTGATTGTCGTGCAAATATTGTAGGCTGGTGCTGATGAAGTCTACGTCATCCGCATACGCTGTTTCATTGGGCAATTGAAGCTGAATATCCAATGCTGGTCGCGGTGAGAGTCGCTCTCGAATCAACCTCAATGCAGCCTCGAGGTAGACAGTAAACAGGACTGGCGATAGAGAATCACCTTGTGGGGTTCCATTATGTGTGACTAATGGTTGGCTGAGAATGTTATTCAGCTTTACTTTTATTGTGGTGTCTGTCAGAAGGCACCGGATGATGTGCAGCTCATCATGATCAATGACTGATGACAGTATATCGACCAGCCTGACCCTCGATATAGTGTTAAATGCCTTTGACATATCAATGCCTAAGATTGAGATCTCCGACGCAACCCGTTGGCATCTTGCTGATAACCACCGATAGCTATATACCACGTCTCCAGTACTTCTCCCTGACCGGAACCCGCTCTGGTTCAGTGACAAGTACCCGTTGATAGCTGGCTTGATCCGCGTCAGGATGACCAATGAAAGAAGTTTCCGTAGGGTGTTCAACAGGGTAACTGGCCTTACATTTCCAGGAGGACCTCTTTTCTTTCCCGGCTTTGGTATCGGGATCAGTAGCCCATCGCCTAGCTTGAGTGATTTGTCTTTGGCATAATTGTTGAATGTAGTGGCAATGTTCGAGAACAGTGCTGGTGTTCCATATTTGATAAGTTCAGCAGGTATCCCATCTGGTCCCGAAGCTCGGCCATTATTCAAGCGCTTAGCTGCGGCATGTACCTCTGTCTGCTTTATAGGGTTTTTAAGGTCTTCCTCTGTCCGTAAGAGCCTAGATGACTCCAGAGCAGGATCACAGAATATAGCACGGAAGTGTTGCCTTAATGCTTCGACTGATTCACTAGGTTGTGCAATGAGTTTGCCATCAGAGTCTTCAACCACAACTGGTGACTGCTGCTGTCGGCGCAGTAGTCGTGTTGCTTTGAACATTTTTGCGTCGTCTTTCATTTGGTCTATTTCAGCTACACGTTCGTCCAGTCGAGTCAATGCTAACTTGAGGCATTCCCGGCGAATTTGGTGTGCCAGCCTGTTGCGTTGTGTTTTCATTTCTTTTACCTTCGTTCCATCTCTGCACACCGTAATGTCGAGACGCAGTTTGCGTTTCTCTGCTGCTAGCTTTTCAATTTCCCCGCTGAAGCCATTTCTATGCGTCTTGTTTGTTTTAGGGACGCGGCCCACCGATGTGTTTGCTGCCTCACTCATAGCGTTCACAATATGCTGCAGATGTTGCTCTGCACCGACACCTTCCTACTCTCTGCCGAGGTCCTGTAGATGTTCGTTGATAGCCTCTCTGTACTTTGCTTTCTTGGTCGGGTCACTAAATTCCAATATATTGAATTTTGCATTGCTGGATATGGCTACTGGGGGCCTCTTGAGCTTCTTGTACAACTTTGTCAGGTTGAGGTTTGCCAGCACAAGACGGTGATCGCTTTCTAAGCTTGTCCCGGCGTATGATCTGGCATCCGTCACCACAAACCTTTCACTGTGACGGCAAAGGATATAATCTATTTGGTTGTAAATGGGTAAAGGTGGACCTCCACTAGGGTTGTGGCGCCAGCCTGTCCATGTGGTGATATGTTCTGCACGGTGCTGAAACGCCGTGTTAAAGGCAAATAGGTAATTGCTGGACGCGAAATCAGCCAAAGTCTGGCCGCTGTAGTTGCGATGGCCCCTTGAGTGTGAACCAGCATAGGATATGGAGTGGCAGTCACTGGGTGGTCGTTTCCCAAGTTTTGCGTTGAAGTCTCCCATCAGGAACAGCAGCGATGAAGACCTTAGTTTTTGAATTGTTTCCAGCAAGCTGTTGTAGAACTCGTCTAGGCATGAATGGTCTGCTGCAACGCGTGTTGACGTCGGGGCGTAGACATTCACAAATGAGCACAGCGTTCTCCCGGAGAGCCATAACTGTAGCACGTCGATACGGTCCGACACCTGCCAATATCTATATATTCGGTGCAGTAACTGCTTTTCCACCACGAATCCGAGTCCATAATGTCGACACGACGACGAGAGACACAGAAGACGGTAGTTGTCAATATTTCCATCGTAGCCTTCGGAGATTTTAGTCTCCTGAAGACAGCAGAGTCCAACTCTGTATTTATTGAGGTCTGAAATAAGTTGTTTTTTTTTGAAATTTGAAGTAAGTCCACGGACGTTGAACGTACCAATGCGAAACAAGCCCTCGCCTTTCGCTCCACTACTCAAAATACTTCCACAATCTATACCAACTTTAAATTTCTAGTTGGAGGCAAGAAGGCAATTATTGCAAAAACACAACCAATCCACAACCAAGGGACAACGATTCATTTTGACAGGAAAGTTCTTTTTTTCTCTCCAGAAATCATCAGTGACTACTTCTGGTAGATGAGTAGGGAGAATGAATGAAGCAGCTCATGGTAGCAGGAGATGCAGCTACTACAGGTGTCAAAGCAGCAGCAGCAAGGCGGGAGACAGTCAAATGGCGAGAAGAACAGCACCATTGCTCCTCTTCGTAGTGTGTGAGTCTGCAGTCTGAAGTTTGTTTCCTATTTTTTCCGCTTGGCTAGATGTTCTTGACACCATTTCGCTAGCTCCCACCTTGCTGCTGCTTGGACACCGGTCACTTAGTAGCTTCATCTTCTGCTACCATGAGGTGCCCGTCACTTGTAGCCTCATCTTCTGCTACCATGAGCTGCCCGTCACTTGTAGCCTCATCTTCTGCTACCATGAGCTGCTTGATTTATTCTCTCTACTCAGTCACTGGTGAATTCCGGAGAAACGTTTTCTGTCAAAATGAATTGGCGTCCGTTCGTTGTAGATTGGTTGTGTTTCTTTCAATAATATACCAACAGTCATGTACACGCACGCATACACATAGCGACTACTAGTGACAAATGACTAGTGACTAGTGACTAGTGACAAGTGACAAGTGACTAGTGACTAGTGACTAGTGACAAGTGACAAGTGACAAGTGACTAGTGACTAGTGACTACTATGTATACTTTATGCACAATACTGTCAGGCGCCGAAGAATGGAGCGCCGAAGAACGGAGCGCCGAAGAACGGAGCGCCAAAGAACGGAGCGCCGAAGAACAGAGCGCCGAAGAACAACCTGGCTAGAATTTTTACTAAGCACAGCATACCAATGTATATACTGCAACTGCCAGTGTGCATATACTGTAGTACATGAAAACAGGCTACGAGGCTGACCCCCAGACCCAGTTCTTCGGCAACCAAACAGTACTGTATACATGTAAGTAGAGATGGGAGAAGTGTAAAACTGTTACAACAGCTTTGTTACTTAGTACAGTCAAACCTGTCTAAGGTGACCAGTCAAGGGACGAGAAAAAGTGGTCACCTTGGCACTGCACACACCTATGCTACTATCCATATATATCATGACTCATGTCCCTGGGGGCCTCAGACCTGTCAAGTGTCGTGCATATACCATGTACATCTACACTTTCTGCGCTGATCTGTACATGTACCATGATGTGGTGCACAGTGCATTGTGTGCATGTACATCTGCCATGATGTGGTGCACAGTGCAATGTGTGCATGTACATCTACCATGATGTGGTGCACAGTGCATTGTGTGCATGTACATCTACCATGATGTGGTGCACAGTGTAATGTGTGCACTACATCTGCCATGTACTAGTAGGTAGTAGGGTGCAGCGCGGTCGCGGCTGGGTGATCGTTGGTTGCGTTGAGCGAGGGGTCGCCTTATCCGAGCTGTTTTGAACGCGTCCGTGACAAGGAAAAGTGGTCGCCAAGGTCGAGTGGTCACCATATCTGATTTTTCGCCATTATCTGAGTGGTCGCCATGGTCGAGTGGTCGCCATATCCGAGTGGTGGCCATTACAGGTTTTTCTGCACTTACAGTTGTCTGCTTGACTTCAATGAGTTCTCCCAGATCTGATACAGCTTCACGGAAGAACTCTTCAGTTAGGTGCGACTTCCTGAAGCCAAGATCATTGCGATTCCGACCAAGCTTATCATGTGCAGAGGCAAACTGTCCACTGGCAACTGCTGCTAATGTTGACAGTTCAAGTCCCAGCATTGATCCAGCAAGTATTTCAGCAAGTCGATATCTACCATCCTAGAACACACGACAAGCATTGAAACAAATCCATTCAGGATCAGAATGTCAGCTCATTACAAGCATCATGCCATTAGTCTCAGGCAACCACGATGTAGCCAGAACATAACCATGGTGACCAGCATATAGCCATGGTACCCACCATGTAACCATGGCAACCAGCGCATGGCCAAGATAAGCAGGAAGTAGCCATGGCAACCAGGAAACAAACATGGTAACCATAGTAAACAGCCTGAGATAGCCAGAACACATACCCGCAGTAATCAGCCTGAGATAGCTGTGGTCATCAGCATGCAGCTACTAGCAGATACTGCCTATTACCGCACTTACAGTTCCTGTGCAGTGCATCAGCTGCAGACATTCTCTTTGAGTTGGCAGTAGAGAGCCTTTCTCTGTCGTGCGCAATTCTAGAGAAGGCATTGTGACACCAGCATAGATACCTGCTTCCTCTACTCCATCACCACTGTCTTGTATCCGGAATTCAACTGACACGCAAGAACAAGAATGAGAGTAACAGAAATGATCACCAGCCACCAGCCACCACCACCACCAGCAGCAGCAGCAGCAGCAGCAGCAGCAGCAGCAGGACCCATACTTACTACGGATTTTCCGGTATAAGGTACTCTACTTGCAGTGCATACACCACATGCATGTTCCTCAGCCACCATGCATGTGCACATACACAGGGGCGTAGCCCGTGCATCTGTGGTGTGGTGACACCATGTATTAGACTGTGTGCATCTGTGGTGTGATGTCACCATGTATCAGCCTGTGTGCATCTGTGGTGTGGTGACACCATGTATTAGACTGTGTGCATCTGTGGTGTGATGTCACCATGTATCAGCCTGTGTGCATCTGTGGTGTGGTGTTACCATGTATCAGACTGTGTGCATCTGTGGTGTGGTGTTACCATGTATCAGACTGTGTGCATCTGTGGTGTGGTGTTACCATGTATCAGACTGTGTGCATCTGTGGTGTGGTGTTACCATGTATCAGACTGTGTGCATCTGTAGTGTGGTGTTACCATGTATCAGACTGTGTGCATCTGTGGTGTGGTGACCATGTACAGTGCGGATCGGCTACATGGTTGTCGGCTATAGTAATATACCTCTTATAGTGATCGTATTCTCAATTTCGTAAACCACCCCTTTCTATACATATCGGATCGGCTATAGTAATAATCGGCTATAGTAATATATCAGCTACAATGATACGATTTCTTTGTCAAAATGATTTTATTCCATACATTTTTCATCGGCTATAGTAATGATCATAAAAAAAATTTACATCGTACATGGCGAGATCTGATCGCGGCAGTCAGGAGGCGCTGGTACGACTATGATATCCCTCGGAGGAAATTCGAAATGTTTGGCGTTGGTGGCTGTGCTTGTTGTTCCGGGGCATCCTCGAGCGAGAGCGGAGGCAGTAATGAGTACCAGCGCTCAAGCGCTACCGTGGTCTCCGCCGAGATGTTGGAGAAGGCATTCAGGTAACAGCGAAGACGATGAAGGACGCGGAGAAGCTTCTCCGTGACATACGACATCACGCGCCGATCGACCTGTCACTTGCAACGGTTTCAGCGGTGATGAGTTGAGCGATGGCGACCCAGACTGAGACTCTACTCCCACTAATCGATCCTGTAGATATTGTTGATATGTCGATTGAATGTGTTGAAGTGTTTCTCTTCCAAAAGAACACATTTGTTGAGCACAGCAACTCCTTGAAAACTCATGTCAAAAAGTCACGAAGTTTTTGTTTCCGCAGGAAGTAGCTCTGCACTGCGCGTACTGCACAGTCACATGCACAGCACACTTCTGCACGCTGCACTGATTCGAATGACACCATACACGCATGTGTCAGGCATACCTAAGTATGCATATCGCCTGTAGTAATTTATCGCCTATAGTGATATTTTCACGAAAATCAAACACCAACTCTATAGCCGATCCGTACTGTACCAGACTATATGCATCTGTGGTGTGGTGTTACCATGTATCAGACTGTGCATCTGTGGTGTGGTGTTACCATGCAGGGGCGTGCTCGGCCCCCCAACTAGGGGGGTGCACGGGAGCCGAGGGGAGCCCCCCCCCCGGCAATTTTCTGCAATTTGTTTGCAACCTTTCTTGAATTTTAGAGCATATTTGCATACATTACAATTGCAATTACCCAGATTTAAAATTTTTGGGGGGTGCACGTGCCCCCGTGCCCATCGCCGAGCACGCGCCTGCCATGTATCAGACTGTGCATCTGTGGTGTGGTGACACCATGTATCAGCCTGTGTGCATCTGTGGTGTGGTGTCATCATGTATCAGACTGTGTGCATCAGTGGTGTGGTGACCATGTATCAAACT